TGGCATCACAGCTCACAGCAACCTCCAACTCCTGGGATCAAGCGGGTCTTCTGCCTCAGCCTCCCAAGTAGCTGGGACCACAGGCACCCACCACAACACCCAGCTATTTTTTGGTTGCAGCTGTTATTGTTGTTTTGGCGGGCCCCAGCTGGATTTGAACCCGTCACCTTAGGTGTATGTGGCTGGCGCCTTAGCCACTTGAGCCACAGGTGCTGAGCCTTCATTTTCTTTTTGAGATAGTTTTACTTTGTCATCCTCGGTAGGGTGTCGTAGTATCATAGCTCACAGCAACCTCAAACTCTTGGACTCATGTCATCCTCTTGCCCCAGCGTCCCAAGTAGCTGGGATTATAGGTGCCCACCACTACACCAGGCTACTTTTTGTATTTTTAGTAGAGAAGGCCTCTTGCTCTTGTGCAGTCTAGTCTTGAACTCAGAAGCTCCAGCAGCCCACTAGCCATGGCCTCCCAGAATGCTGGGATTACAGATGTGAATCACCAAGTCTGTTGCTTTTTTGTTTTTATTTTTTTAAACATCACTGTTTTTCACAGGAAGAAAAGAATAAGACTTTTTTCATTTTTGTAAACTTGCCATGGACCGTTCGTGAGGATATTTAGATATAATGTTTTTGTAGCAAATAATACTTTGTATCTTCTATAAATTCTTGTATTTTAAATATAGTTTAGAAAACAGGTTCTAATTATTGGACTTATTTGAGAATTTTATAATTTAAGGACTAGGCCTTCTTAAATTATTATTATTTTTTTTTTAATTTTTTTCTTTTGTTTTCTTTTATTTTATTTCATTGCCTTTTTTTGTTGTTGTTGTTGAGACAGAGTCCCACCCTATGCCCTGAGCAGAGTGCAGTGGCATGGTAGCTCACTGCTACCTCAGACTCGGGCTGTGGGTGTCCCGCTGCCTCAGCCTCTGGAAGCCGCTGGGATTACAGGAGCTTGCTGCGGGTGCCTGGCTGGGTTTTCCATTTTTTTCCTGAGTTGGGGGTCTCACTCTCCTTCAGGTGAGTCTCAAACTCCTGAGCTCAAGCAATTCTCCCTCCTCAGTCTCCCACAGTGCTGGGATTACAGGTGTGAGCCACCGCACCAGGCTTAAATTTTTTTCTTCTGAGACAGAGTCTTCTCACGTCACCCTTGGTAGAGTACTGTGGCGTCACAGCTCACAGCAACCTCCAACTCTT